TAGGTTGCCGCGCAAGCCACTCTCGTGAAGATCCCTAATTATACGTATCTCCATGCCTTATCATAAGCTTTCTCAGTGTCAAAAAATACAGAGACAAGGTGACTTCTTCTTACAAAAGCTTTTCGAATGGATGTCTATAAGAGGAGTATGTTATCTACGGTTGTTCTCTCCTTTCGAAAACCGTTTTGATAAGACGATATATTATTCTTTTCCAAGAAGTAGACTAGACGGCTGTTTACCATTTTTTAAAGCAGCTTGCATACGCAACTCGTACGGGCGATTGGCCGATAGTTGGAGGGATTTCATGGATCTTTCCCTGTCTTAGCAATGGGAATTACAACAGCTCTCCTCCACGCACTGGAAAAAAAAACGCTCCTTCCACGCTCTATTGTAAAGAGTGAGAAGGGCAGTCAGTGACTTATAGGACAGATGCTTTAGCATATCGTAATTCACGCCATCAAGACCCGGGGAAGACCTATGTGTCTGCAACAAAGCTTTCCTTAATTCAAGCATAGTAAAGTCTCTATTGTAAGACTCAGATTTGGAAGAGTTGAATGTGATGGGATTTATTTCAGAGTGCTGCTTGATAGAGAGAAATGCAGGTGAATAGTTTCTGCTGGAAGAAACAGCAGCAAATGTCTGAGTGGTCCTTATATATTTCGCATGCTTTTCGAACTCTTTCCCAAACCCGCTTACTAGGCGTAGAGGATGTTATTGACGACCCATATGAAATCCAAGAATTCCTTTGGCTCTGCCTTCTTACTTTTCGTGCATTTGCTTTGGCTCTTTTAAATGCTATGAGGTTTCGCAGAGTAGGATATCTACGAAAAATACCCCATGCTTTTTTCTGTTTTTTCAGTGCTTCATGACAGTCGCGATTCCACCATGGTTTCGAATATTTTAGTATTTTTCCTGATGTTCTAGGAATGGAAAGCATAGCTGCCTTTAGTAACAGCTTCAACAGCGTCATCGATATGCACATCTTCTAGCATTTCCTCTGTGAGTTCTGCAATGGAAGAGAAGAGTTCCCAGTCTGCCCTGTCGAATATGAACCGAGGGAATCTCCACAAGGGGTTTGTTCCTCTTCGTGCAACAGATACTAAAATGGGATAGTGATCGCGGTTGAAAAGATCATTTACCACACTAAAAGTGCAAAATGGCAACAGAGATGGTGAACAGATGGCAAGGTCGACAGCGTGGAAAGTTTTTGAAGGCTCATGGAAGTAAGTACCCTGTCCATTATTCAGGAGACAAAGGCTATGATCTTCAATCATTCGCTCAATTTGTCTTCCTCGGGAATTTGTGTCTTTACTTCCCCAGAGCAGACTATGGCCGTTAAAAATCCCCTATTATTATAAAGAGCTCCGGCAGCTGCACTATGAGACTATTTAAATCCTGCTGATCAATGTGTTCATTTGGAGGCAAATAAAGAGAAAAGACTGAAACTACAATATGAAAATTAACTTGTACAGCGACAACTTGGAGGGATGTCGTCAAAGGAAAGGAAATTGAGGGATAGTCCAGTGAGGTGAGGAGACCACATCTCCACTGGTACGTTCACCTGCAAGGTTATCCTTTCTGACGAGAGAAAACCTCCGAAGTTTTGCTTGTTGTTCTGCTTTCAGATTTGTTTCCTGCGTTGCGAAGCATACAGGATGATAGGCATTGATAATAGCTTTGATGTCAAGCAAATTTCAGTGGAAACCACGACAGTTCCATGAGACGAGGGTGGCCATTATGCTTGATGTTTGTTCTTTCTGTGTTGCTTTTTAGTTTTGCGTGGAAGCAGATGTTCGGAAACTTCCAGATCCTCTTCCACTTCAATACTATTTGAATCTACAGATTCAGAGAATCATTCCATTTACAGAACTATTGATTGGCTTCTATTTTTGTTAATCGCTTTAGTTGAGGGTACATTTTTTAGGTTTGCTTTGAATAACTATTGATTTATTTTGTATGACGTGTGTTTGATTTTCCTTTTTCTTGCTTGCAGTCTGCTGGGTTTTATTTGGTGGGGTCTGTGTACTTATTGAAGTTTGGGTGGCTATGGTACGTGTAGATTTAACGGCACTGGCATATGATTTGTTTGATTGGAGCTGTGTGCTTTGAACTAACTTTCTGGCTTCGGCATATGAAATGTTCCTAGAAACTTTTATGGTCTGGACTTCCTTTTCTGATTTCCATTTCGGACAGGAACGAGAAAATGCTGGATGATCACCCTTGCAATTTATACACAATGCGGCAGCAGTGCAATTATCGCTATCGTGACCAACTGACGAGCATCGAGCGGCACGTCAGGTTGCCACGACAGGACATCTTGGAATGGCCGTAACGTTGGCATTGGAAGCATCGCATAGGGTTTGGTATGTATGGTCGTACAGGACACTTGAGGTATCCAGCCTTAATATTCTTAGGCAGATCAGGCGATTTGAAGGTCTGGATCACGTGTTTCGTGTCAATGAACTGACCTTCCCTACGCATCTTGATCCGCCTGGCAGCACTGACATTTTGATCGGCTAGCTCAAAAACGAACTCTTCTTCAGACACAGACAGAAGGTCGACTTCCGAGAGTGCGCCTCTACAAATGTTAAGTGTTTCATGTGCTGATACTGTTACATCAATTTGGCCTAGCTTGGTTAATCGTAGGAGGGAGGCAGACTGTACCGCCGAAATTGTATCGATAAGTAAATCTCCAGATCGGAGACGCTTTATGTTTCTTGGCTCACCAATGGAGGAATGAATATACTTGTGAATTACGAAATGGAGATAACTTTTGAATTTCGCTAGAAGGAATTGAGACTACAACGAAACGGGGACATTTGTTAGGATCATTTGCATTTGCATCGGTACGTAGATTTTCAACAGTAGGTTTTTTAGAATTGGTACATGGAGTGAAGGGACTGACTGCAAAGTCTTTGATTAAGTATATCTGCGAGTTAGTCAAATTTGAAAGAGAAAAGATTCGGGTCCGACGGCCCCGCCAACCACAGAGCCCAAGAAGGGAACACAGAATTCCTGTGCTTAGGGCTAGCCAGGACCCTATACGCAAACTGAAGCCCCACAGTCGGCTTTCCCGGAAAGCAGACACTCCCGACAGCTTATCCTCAAGCCACAGACACAAGGACTAGTGACCAGCCGATTGACACCCGTGAGGACGACTAAGGTGCCTCCCGTTTAGCTGAAGCAGAGGCCAAAGCAGTGTGTTGAGAATAGTACCTCGCCCCTCAACTACCAGGACCCTCCTCTCCAGCGACACGGGTCTCCACGCACGGCAAATATGTGGGCAGTTTTCTCGCCACTTGAAAACTAGAGACGAGGGCTGTTCCAGTTTCTCGTGACTAGCCCCAACCTCCGAAGAGGGAAACCACGAGGGAGAATGGAAGGAAAAACAGTATCAGGTCAGAGGAGAGGAGACAAAAAAGAGGATCGTGACACCCGTCTCACCAAGATGATCCCCTGAAGGGATAGGGTACCTCGGGATTGCCACGCCCGTACCCTGAGGGCTGTTTCCCAGATTGAACGACAGCGATCCCAAAAGAAAATGCGTCTAAAGCAGATCCTCCGTCAGATGAAGGTGGAAAATCTGACCTAACCAACATAACTCTTAAGAAGTATACTAGATCCCATCAAATTAAAAATTGGGATAAAATTAATGAGACCAGTTTACAAAGGAAGTTTTTCTGACACAGATTGCAAAAGAAAAAAAATCTAGATGAAAATTAATTAAAGTAAATGAAACGCGTCAAAGTAAAACCATCCACAAAAGAAATCTCCTCGTATCTAATAAAATTATATACGAAGTTTCAAAAGGCAAAAGAAGCTAACTGAGTCCTAGGTTCATAAAGATGAACTAAAATGATTACATCAATGTAATAAATCAAAAATAATTGAGAACAATATTTTTTGTTTCCGATTTCATAGCAAATGAAAAATATCTGATGCGTACACCACATGACTTCCTTGTAAATTGTACTCCTTTTTTCCTGCATTTCATTTACACTTATTGAATGAATTAATCTACTTAATTCAGAAGTCACAACAAAACCAGCGTTATATTTTCAATTTTCCACAGGACTAGTTCGATGGTTTTACCGAACCACCATCCTCAGCTGCAAAACCGCAAATGAACAAGATAGGAAATAATGATTAGATAAGATAAGAAAGCCTGGACAAGAATAAAGCACGTGGCGCCATCTGTTGGTAAACCAGAACTAAAACATAATTTCTTTAAAGGCCGAAGGCAAAGATGGATTGAAATTAGGATCGTTAACTAGAAGAGAAAGATTTTTTTGAATGTGAAATGCCTCTAGAAAATCCAGTTCTACAATGGAAGATGTTTTTTGAATAATTTTGGCAGCAGAAAAATTGAAAGTGTGATTTTCGGACCAACAATGTTGAGCAACAGAAGACTTCTGTGTTTCCTTTTTTATGACATATGCCTCATGTTCCTTGACGCGAAATTTTAAAGCTCTCCTAGTTTGGCCAATGTAAATCAAAACCACACTGGCAATGAATCCTATAAATACCCCAAGAATTCAAGAATTCATATGGGGTTCTTGAGCATGGAACTCGGAATAAAACCTCATACTATCTTTATGATTCCTAGTGCCATCCCAGTTCAATAAGTTAGCAGTTCAGAAGTTTAACGTCAGGCCTTTGCGATTTGTTTATGCAAATATCATTATGGTATATGTTTAAACAGCATCTGCAATCAATCTTTTTTATTTATTTTTATTACCACTTAAAATCGTTAGAAACCGCAATAGTTAATAAACGGGTTCTATTTTACATCATTTTAGTGCAAGTTTAATTAATTAAAGTTAGGAATTTAATATTCAGTTTAATTTTCAACTCATGCAGTCTGTGTTTTCCGAAACTATCTGCCGCCAGGTATTTTGGTAATTCTGATAAGCATTATCGAACAAATCATGTGAAATTATTAGCATTTGAATTCATCGCCAATAGCGAAAACGGCAAGATTATTACAGTTCGCGAAAGATAAGATTAATGGATGTAAAATAGACATGATGATAAGTCCTCTCACTCCTGATTGTAAGTTATCTATCCCCTTTTTTCAACTTTCAGACATTTCCAAGCCACTGTACTAAATCATCGGTAGTACGAAACTTGCTATGAAATTCTAGCATTTTGTATAGGTGTAAGTAGTTTTCATATTCCTTGCGAAATATTTTGGTATACTTAAAGGATATCAGAAATAATACTTTAATGAAATTTACTTTATTGATGATAGCAATAGTCTGTGCTTTCAAATTATGCAAAAAGATCAACCTTGAATTCGCATTAACCCTTAAATGCATGCAGTTGCCATTTGGCAATATACTCATATTTAGTTATATAAATCAAATCAAAACACAAATTTTAGCTTACTGCATAGTGTAACCAATTGGATACACACTGCTTACGTATATAGTTTTGAAAGTTTCAGTGTGGTGTAACGGACATTATTGTGAGTTGAGGAGTAGGGGTGTTGACATCATTTATGTTTACGAGTTTTTGATTTTGTGTTTACTGTTATTTTGATGTATTCAAGTTTTAAAATTGTTTGAACAAGTTTATAAGGTATGCATTATATTTTATAACATTTGGCAACAATAATATGTTTTCAAAAATTGGAATAAAAAATTAGTTGACTTTTTAAATATTTTTACTATTTTATTTAACATCCATTCTAATGTATTTTTGACTTAAATTCAAAATAATAATAATAAAATAATAATAATAATAAAATTTCATGCATTTAAGGGAAAATACGAAATAGAAATATAGGGAAGAGCATTTCTATGATTATAATTCCATTTGACTGACTTCTCTTACTGTAGTTTAGTAGTCTAAGTGTCTAATTATCTAGTAGTCTAAGTGTGTTTTCTTCTTTTTTGATGGTATGGTGGGAATATAAAAATGTAATAGTATGTGAATAATATCTTTCTGTAGTATAACGGAAAATTAAGCAATTTATGTCCTCTGTTATAATTAGTTTTTTCGTTTACACTTACACTGAATGTAGTAAAGAACAGTAGACTTAATGTAATTTACACATAGACTTATTTAAGTGTTGTAAAAACTCATTAGCTTTATGTAATTAAGCCTGCTTAAGTGCTGCTTGCATTCTTCTTTTTATCGTTTTTTTTTTTTTTAACTAACTATGAAATACATATGAGATGACTGAGTCTAATAAGCTTTATATACAGCATACATGTATGTTAGTATACGTCCGCTTTGAAATTTGAAATAAGTCCAACTTGATATACGTCTCACTTGAAAGCGAAAATTTTTGTTTGGTGTATATCCGTTGTTTGGAATACGATTCAAATTCAAAAGGCAAAAGAAGCTAACTGAGTCCTAGGTTCATAAAGATGATCTAAAATGATTCCATCAATGTAATAAATCAAAAATAATTGAGAACAATATTTTTTGTTTCCGATTTCATTGCAAATGAAAAATATCTGATGTGTACACCACATGACTTCCTTGTAAATTGTACTCCTTTTTTCCTGCATTTCATTTACACTTATGGAATTGAATTAAATCTACTTACTAATTCAGAAGTCAAACAACAAAAATCGCGTTATATTTAAAAATTTTCACAGGACTAGTTTCGATGGTTTAACGAACCCCATCCTCAGCTGCAAAACCGCAAATGAACAAATAGGAAATAATGATAGAAGATAAAACCGGACAAGAATAAGCAAGTGGCGCCATCTGTTGTGAACCAGACAAAATAATTTCTTAAAGGCGAAGGCAAAGATGGATTGGAATAGGATCGTAATAGAAGAGAATGATTTTTTAAAGTGAAATGCTTTAGAAAATCAGTTCTCCAATGGAAGATTTTTTTGAATAATTTTGGCAGAGAAAAATTGAAAGTGTGATTTTCGGACCAACAAATGCTGGGCAACAGAGACTTCTATGTCTTTTTTTAATTATGCCTCATGTTCCTTAACGTCAAATTTTAAGGCTCTCTTAGTTTGGCCAATGTAAATTAAACTATGCTGACAAGGAATCCTGTAAATACCCCAGGATTCATATCCGGAATGGAGTCCTTGAGTACAGAAATCGGAATTTTATTGATAGGAGAATAAACGACCGGAAAGTCAAATTTCTGTAACATACGTGCAGTTTTATAACTAATTAATGGAAAGAAAGGTATGACAACAGAATTTTTATTCTGCTTTTAAATAATTTAGTTCTTGATCAAGAGCCAGTTTGGAAGAACAAACTCCAACTTTTTTTGTTGTTGTTGTTTCACTTCAAAATTAATACTTGTTCGGTGTGTTATGTTATCTTAATTAATCAGAAGTGTTAAGCAACGAAGAAAATGGTTGAAATCACTACGGAGATGAAAAAATTTTGTTTTTTCAAAAATAAGTAGATGGTATGAGTATTCTGGACTTGGCTACCTCATACCGTATGCTGAGAACGATGGTCTCTACGATTGTGAAAAACAAAAGGCGCTATTAAATCGGCTAACGTTGCGAAGAGAGCAAAATTGATTACCCCAAAAAGATTGGATATTTGAGCATGTTGAGAAACTGTTTCGTATTTGGATAACAAAAAAACATTTAATCTATGTGCAGTATATATTTCATACACTGCATTTTCATTTTGGTATTAAACAGTGTTATAATAGTAACAACGGGATTATTTTTAAAGAAAAACGGATTAATTCTTTTCTCTTTATTTCTTATCGGAAAAGTTTGTTTGGTATATGTTCAAGGATCTGGAACGAATTTATTAGTACATGTTTGTTTAATGAATCATGGCAAAGAACGCGAAGACTAACTACCTATAGGAAGGTAGCGTTCTTGTATTTCATATATAACCGGATCATATTTACGTTATACATGGGAAAAATCATGAATACACCCATGCATTCCGCGCGTGTTCCGGTATTCGACCCTTGGTGCAACGACTATTGTTCAAAGGTCTTCTCCACTCTGCCGCTATTGAATACATTAATTACATAATACCAAGAAATTAACATTTCTTACTGTACTTCCTTACTTTGTTTTGGTTTTTGAGAAATACGAAATAGACAGAATAAATCTGGAAATAAGTATACGGTACATAGGCGAAGCGATAAAAATATAAAGTAAAATTATATGAATATATTTAATATGTATTTCATGGTTACTCTGTATTATTTTTCCTGGTTACTTTAATCATTTTGCTAATCAGTATTTTTTATGTTCAATTCTCTTTTGATTTCAAAATTCACAAAGAATTCACAAATGTGCGTTCCAGAAATTTATGTGAAAAGAGGGGTTGCTCTACAGATACGGCAATCTCTCTGAAATTTTTGTGATACACTTCTGACAATTCTTCATACTTACATGAACTAATGGTATAAGTTATGGTATAAGTTAAATTTATAAAAATTTAGAAGTGTTCAAAGTAGTTTCCTCCTACATTAATTCACGTTTATAAATGAATTTTCCAAAGATTAAATGTTTCAAACCATCCATTTCTTGGAATCGAACAAAAACATGCTTCTAGAGCAGAGCCTCATCAATCACATCTTCAGAATGAAAAAGACGGCCACGCAAATTTTGTTTTAGATTAAAAAATAGTGAAACTACCTACATAGCCAGATCAGGAGAAAAGTCTAGTAATTCTATCATACTGATATGCTTTTGTAAAAAAAAATTCAAATAGCAGCCTTGCTGAATAACGATATGCAGTAACACGGTGAAATGAGTATCCTTCACGTCTTGAAGAAACTTATGGAACTCTTACACACTTTCTGGAAGACACTTAATGGTCAACCAGTTATCTGTAACTGTCTTCTGTCCCTCAAACTTGATAGCTCACATCAGTCCTGTACTTAGTTTTTTCACTGCTCCTTGCCTTTTTACCATTGTTGATTTGGAGTCATCTTCACCCATACTATACTTTCTTGACGTGTTGGAACGTCAAAAATCGTACATACTTTCATCCCCAGTTATGATTTTAGAAATAATTCAGTAGCATTCCAGCTGAAGGCTGTGTTGCTAAGTGTTCCATAGACGGCCGATCTGTCTTGACTAGACTAAAAGTATGGCTTTATCCCTACGCAGCCGGTGCGTGATTCATTGAAGTGTCGTTCGCGTAAAATTGCTAGTATGTAAGGATGGTTACTCAGTGACCCAAGGTGAGAAATAAGTGTCTCGCATACTTCAACCTGTAATCTGTATCATTTGGTGGTACAGAGATTTTTATTGATTAACATTTTTCGTTTAAACAGCGCGACCTGCAGCATGAAGCCTCTTCTTGAAAGCAAGATTACTATACTACAAGGTCTTCTCTTGCATGATGTCATTGACTTCTAGTCTGCTCAAAAGCAACTCCTGCTTTGTATCTTCGTTTCTTGCAATCTCAGTAGACAGACAAGTTTATGGTTTTTCAATGTCAAACCGTTCTCTTTCGACATTCGTGACGGTGATGTCACTATGCTCATAGACATAGCCAACTCTATCACATTATATAGTTGGCTGTGGCTCATAGAAGTGGAAGAAATTTTGCTTTGTAGCAGGCAACAGCCCCTAGACTTAACTGTCTAGAGCTCCGTTCACAACAGCAGATTCGACCGGTAGGCATATAAGCAAAATGAACACTGCTAGGACAGCGGCTTGAATTTGGCCAATGACAGTCCAGATGAGGGTCACCATTAACTCCGCCGACATGAGTGATGTCACATTTCTGATGTTTGTTTACAATCAGCTGTTCGGAGTTACGAAGTGCGCTCTTTGAATGTACGTTTAGTTTTTTGGAATGAAAGTGTTTATATGTATGCGTATTATATCTGTATATAGCGATTTAATGTATGTTTCGGAATATTAAGGACCTCATTATACTGTTCCAATACAAGATTAGATCTAGTCGGATGGAAGTTACTGATGGCTGGAAGATGCATGTAAAGTGTGGTTTAGAAATTTATTCTGCATATTGATAATCAGAAACTTTTAAGTGATAATGACTTAAATCATCTAATATATAAAATCTTAATCATTTAATATATAAAAAATCTAATATAAAAAATCATCTAATATATAAAATTTAAAAAATAAAAAAAATAAATTCTGCGGGAATTAAACCAAGTGAAGTTAATGTTAAGTTAGTGAAACCAAGTGCTAATTTGTGTCTGTAATTAATGCAGTAAATATT